CTCTCTCTCTTCCGGTGTTAACGCTCAACAATTCCCTCAGACAAAAGTGTCCATTCGCTTTCCGGCTGTTTGCAGGAACGCTGCCGCGTGCAAAACCGTGGAGTCGCGTCGCACGATGGTTTAGCACCTTCTCGGGTCAGCTCGAAACCTTAGGCAAGTTTCCTTACTCCACACGCACGCGCGCGCGCGCACGCGCACACGCACATGCACACGCCTGTTTATCCCAGCAGTAAGTAGGAACCCGGTTGTGAGTGGATTGGCAGATCACTTTCCCGGGGGCTAATAACCCCTCCATTGTATGTTTAAAAATGTGGGACGCCGCTGGTGCGCAAATTGGCTGCCGCGTTTCGCCCACGAAAAACACACAGTCCCTCCGCTTGACGGTGTATTCTGCGAGGCCCTTTGAGAAGTAACGACGACACGAGAAGGCGCTGTAGGGAACGCAAAGGTTATATATATCTATATATATATACATCATATATTATATAAAATTGTCCCCTGCCTTCAAACTGGACCTGACCAGCGATCGGACCCGCAAATACATCTCGTGGGTTTGGCTTTGGCCGTTCGGCGGAGGGTGGGGGGGGAAGTATGTCCCCGAGGCCGAAGCTCGCGGCTGTGAAGGATGCTAAACAAGCTGTGCTGTGAGCGCGGTGTCTGCTAATGACCCGAGCAGAAGCCCCGTCAGGTTTCCATTCGGAGTCAGGCACCTGCTCTAATGAGCTCTCATTCCTCTCGTAGCGAGCTCCGTGCTCTGTGTTACCAGCGGCTCTGCTCTCTGGCGCTGGTGGGGGGGGAGAAAAAGGGCTTTAATTGGCTCCTCCGCCTCTGGCTGCCGGAAGCCGGAGCGAGGTTCGCAGCGAGTCAGCCAGCGGGTTAGGCTTAAGGCGCTCGCACCAAGAGAGAGACAAGTGGAGACGAGAGCTGTCAGTGCTGCCCTCCGCGACCCGACCCTCTGTATAAACGCACGTGTTGGAAATAACAAGCGAGCCCGACCCTTTGGGGAGAGAGTACCGCAACCGCCCGCAGCTTGTTTCGTGCTTCGGATGTTTGTCAGCCCCTCGGCGCACGCTACAACACTCCTTCCTCGCGCACGGTCGAACCCCACCACCGCCCCGCTCACCCACCCACCCCCAACTCCCAGCTCTGCACCCTTCTCCCCTCACCCACGCACCCCCACCCACCCCCTGCTCTCTGCCCACTTCTCCCCTCACCCCACTCGCCCCCGTTCTCTGCCCATTTCTCCCCTAACCACGCGCCCCCCACCCCGTTCTCTGCCCATCGTTCCCCCCCCCCCCACCGCTTTCTTTCCCCTCACCACTGGCTCCCACTCCTCACCCGCTGCCCCCGGCTCTCACCCACCTTCCTTCTCTCGCGTCTGAGCGTGATTACGCCCGAAAGATTATTCCCCCCGCCGCCCCTCCCCAAAGAGGTTCACGATGCCCTTTCCCCAACCTCCCCCATCACTTTATCCGCTTCCTCATATAATGATGATTATTCTAATAATAATAATTCCTCGCGTTTAATTCCTTGTCGAGACGTCTATCCGGTCGAGTGGATAGACTGTGTGTTTCGTGGGCGAAACGGTTGGTGCGATTTTTTTTGTGGGCGACAGCGAACTCAGGAAAGCTTTGCTGAGTTGCTGCAATTAATGTCTGACGCTCAGAGGTAGACGAAGGGAATCAATACGAGAAAGTAATCGAGCACTGGCGAGGCCATCAGCTTCTGGCTCACGAGAACTGTTCTCGAGCTGTTTGGCAGCGATGTTTATCAGTCCAGGGGATCTCCGTTTCAGATTGTTTCAATGAATAAATTTAATGCGATTTAATCAAGGTTGAAATCTTCCTTCACAGGACGCTGTCTGCTGTTTTATTGACACTGATCAGCACCGTGTGATTGCTATCTGTCACACCAAAGGTACGGCTTACACTCGAGATCCCGGCTCGTCTCAGCCCTGCGGGGCAGGCTGGAGCGTCAGCTCAGCAAGCGGGAGGACCCGGGTTCGATTCCCGGGTGGGTCAGGTCAGGACGAAACCTTAGGCAAGTTTCCCTACTCCACACACACACACACACACACACACACACATAATCCCTCCTCCCTCCCACCAAAAAAAAATGCAGTCACTCAATCCACGACCGTTTGCGGGGACGCTGCTGAGCTCAACTGGCAGACGCGTTTCGCCCACAAGCTACGCAGTCAATTCACATTACAGAATGTTCTTTGAGATGTCTCGACGAAGTGATGAGACGCTAAGTCGAGTGCGAGGATTATTATTCATACGATTAGACGGCGAGCGGGGCTTGAGCCCACAACCTTCTGATCTGGAGACCGAGCTTGACGAACGCGGAGCTTAAGGTTGTCAACCTGGTTTGGTTAATTTTTAATTAGAAGGAGACTTCACTCCATTCAATTCATATGGGATCCTGTGTAGAAATAAATTGATTCAGACTCCTCTGTCCCTCTGTCTCTCTCCCCCCCCCCCCGTTGATGCTCGTGTCAACTTCCATGTGTCGCAGCCTGAGCTCTCGCTTCGGAGTCAGAGGACGGTTCGAAGCCTCACGTGACGGGGCTTTGAGCGCACGCTCTCGGCCGACGCTCCAGTACAGTGCTGGTGGTGGTGGGGGGAGTGGGGGCACTGCACTGTCAAGGCTGCCACAATGTGGACGGGACGTTAAACCCGAGGTCTTGTCTGCCTCTTTCGGGCGGACGTTAAAGATCCTCCGGGTAAAGAAAAACTTCCTGGTGTCTGTCCGTCCTGAAATTGCCCCTTTGCAACTCGAAACCCGAGTCCTCTTGTCCCCTGTTCTCGGAGTCGCGTGGGGTATTGGTTAGAGCACTCGCCTCGCAAGCAAAAGGACCTGGGGTTAGTTACCAGGCAGTGAGTGAGTAGAGTAACTAAATCCACGGCTGTTTGCGGGGGACGCTGCTGTGCGCAATTGGCTGCCGTGTTTCGCCCGCAAAATACACAGTCGCACCACTTTACGGTATATTCCGTGGAGCGCCTTGAGACGTCTCGAAGACGCGCTAAGGCGTTAGATCAAAAGCAAGGACTATTATTGTCAATTAATATTATTATTACGATTCTACTGCATTGATAAAATCCTAAAGTATTAGTTCGGGTTTACTTTTTCGATCTCTTTTAAAATTGCGTTCACCTGTATAAGGTTTCCCCCCCCCCCCTCCCCTCCCCCCCCCACCTCCTGAATAGTCTCCTCTCGAGACTGAGCGGCAGAGACTGAGAAGAAGGCGCAGCTCACGGATGTCAAGCGAAGGCTGTAGGGCTGGAGGTGTTGTGAAACAGGATGAGATTCAACGGTCTGAAACTGCAGTACCTCTCACCATTTGACCGGGGTTTTGTGTAGACTGCCAATAAGAATTAATGCTTCTGTGATATTCCACACCTCTGGCCATTTAAGCACTCAGTCTTCCAATGAGTCCGAATTAAATACAATGGATACCTACCTCGGAGTGCTAACAGTTCTCATTCAGGCATGCTAATGGATTCATGAAGCTCGGAGAGTACAGCACGGACAGTTAATAACCATCATCATCGCAACCTTCAGATGTGATTAGCAGTCTTGAGATCACTGCAAGGACGCTACATGTTCTCTCCGAGCGGGCAGACCACGTGTGATTGCGCTCAACGATGCGGGGGTCCAAGAACCACAATAACTGTTACGGTTTGCGGTTCGGGTGGAGGGGGGGGGGGGCGGTGGTTAGCGCTCACATTATCGCGGCTTAATCGACGCAACAGCCTGTGATGTGCAATGCGATGCCGTGCAAAATTACGCCCCTTTCACCAGCCACGGTTATACACGTAGAGTATCGGTGAGAGCGCTCGCCTCGCGAGAGCGAGAGGACCCCGGGTTTCGATTCCCGGACGGGGCCGAACCTTAGGCAAGTTTCCTCACTCCACGCACACGCCTCTGTTAACCCAGCGGTTAGCAGGAAATTCAAACGGTGGATTGGCGGGGATCGCACTGCCGGGGGTAACGATCCCTTAAAAATAAAACACTCGGTCACTTCGATCCACGGCTGTTGGTGGGGACGCTGCTGTGCGCAATTGGCTGCCGCGTTTCGCCCATAAAAGTGTACAGTCAATTCACTTGACAGTAGATTCTGCGAAGGGCTTCGAGGCGTCTCGAAGACGCAACAAAGCGCTGTATCAAATGCCAGGATTATTATTACCCGTAATATGCGCCTTTCACACGTCTAACCAAGACTAGCGGTGGCAAAGATTGTCAGTTCCACCGGCAGCCCCTCCGAGCCCGTCCCGCCGTTCTATCAGATCACGGCTGATCTGTACCTCAACTCCAAATACCCGCCTTTGCCCCAAAACCCCTTGATCCCCTGACGTGACCAACATCTCTAGACCTCAGTCTGGACAATGTGACTGGATCCAGCCATAACCCACAGCCTTGGGGAAGGAAGGGGGGGGGTGTGGGGGGTGCGCGAGGCGAGGGGTAGAAGAACGTTCCAGAGTTTCGGGGGGTAGCGCCTGGAAACGCCAATGGTGGAACGGAGGGCGCCGAGCTCTAATTTTAATTAAAAGTCTCAACGTTTCATGCTAAACACAACCTCCAGTGCCCGGTTGCCACGACCTACACAGATGCTATTTCACAGCTTCTCACCATTTGCTCATTTTCTCTCTCTCTCTCTCTCTCTCTCTCTATCTCTCTCTCTCTCGCATGTTCCGTTGCTGTCTGACCTGTCAAGATGCTGTCTCACAACATCTCTCTTTCTCTCTCTCTCTCTCTCTCTTGCTCGCGCTCGCTCTCACACTCTCCCGTTGCCGTGACCTGCCCAGATGCCATCTCACAACGTCTCACCATTTGCTGTCTCTCTATTCTTTTTCTCTCTCTCTCGCTCTCTCTCTCTCTCGTTCGCACTCGCTCTCACACTCTCCCGTTGCCGTGACCTGCCCAGATGTATGTGACTCACACACGCACACGTGCGCGCGCGCGGTGTACAACAGCAGCTAATGATGAGAAGCACTGACCCAGATGCTGTCTTGATGCCGGTATTGTTTCCAGTTGCTCTCCGAGTCGGCTGAACATCAGGGCGTAGCTGGTCACCCAGTCCGAGCTCCCGTACCTGCCCTGTGTGGCCACGGCCGTGATCTCCGTCCTCTCGCCCAGGTCTATCTGCAGCCACTGGGGCCGGTTGGACTCCAGCGGGGACCAACCTCCGGCACCTGGAGAGGGGGAGAGGAGAGGGAGAGAGAGTGAGTGAGACAGAGCGGGAGAGGAGAGAGAGAGAGAGAGAGAGACACACAGAGGGGGAGAGGAGAGAGAGTGAGTCAGAGGGGGAGAGGAGAGAGAGTGAGACAGAAGGGGGTGATAAGGCGTTATGTCAAATGCAAAGATTATTATTACGATGTCCCCTTCTCTCAATCTCAAGCAATGTGGGATCACCTTCTGGTGGGGGGGGGGGGGGAAGAGGAGGGGGCGAGTAACAGCTCCTTCAAAAAAAATAATAATAATTCGGTCACTCAATCCACGGCTGTTTGTGGGGACCGCTGCTCCTGCGCAATTGGCTGCCGCGTTTCGCCCACAAAATACACAGTCACTCCGCTTTGCAGTATCTGCTGTAAGGCGCTTTGAGACGTCTCGAAGGATTATTATTATCATGTATTTTGAATTAAAGCAAATTCCCCTCATCCATGTTACTCTTCTGTCGACCGTCACCAATTTTTGCCATTTCCTTTCGAAGGGAACCCAACTCTTCACACGATATTCCAAACTGCCCCTGACCAGCGATCTGTACAAGGTTAGAATAACAGCTTTGGGCTTCGAGTCAAATGCCCTTGAGATGTAGCCTTGTGTGTGTTTGGCCGTGTTGACAGAAGCCTCACATCGACAGTTTTCTCTCTATCTCTCTCCCTCTTTCTCTCCCTCTCTCTCTCTCTCTCTCAGGTTCCAATTCCCACCCGCTATAAGTCTTCCAGGGTAATTGGCCAAGCAAATCCTTGAGGATCTCACGCCACAATCCCATCTGCCACTTCCTTGGTCCTCTCGCTAATTAGTCCAAATCTCCTTAAAAACAGAACCATGATTCTTGCTTACCTACTCTGCTCAGCTCTGAGGAGATGGAAGGATGGATATACTCAGAGGCCTTCAGCGGAAGCGACGGTAGACAGAATGGGCGTGTTCCCAAGGGTTAGCCGTGCTATGGGTTACTATAATAATAATAATAATAATAATCCTTGCATTTGATGTAGCGCCTTATCACGTCGTTGAGATGTCTCAAAGGCAGCTAACTGTGCACAGCAGCGAACCATAACCATTCACGGATAGAATTCTGAGGGACTATTACCCTCACAAAGCGATCCGTCAATCGACTAACAATCGGGTCCTTACTGACTGCTGAGTAAACCGAGATGTAAACGTTTCCAGCCTCCCGCCCGGGGAATCGAACCCGGGTCCTCTCGCTTGCGAGGTTCGAGCTCTCTAACCACAACGCTGCAGGACTGTACGAGTGTGCAACAGGAGCTGACAATAGCCCGGCAGCTAAGCACTTGCTGTGAGAGACGTTCATCTGACAAGAAAGGAGTTGTACGAGGCCGGGCTGCTCGAACGCGCTATGGGCCTTCATGCTTATCAGAAAATAACAAGGATGATGTGGAACAGAGTTACGGCACAGCCGGGGAACAAGAGAACTCAAAGTCAGAACCAGACTCTTTCCTGTCGACTGAAAGAAACTGAGGTTATTAGGTTCCGAGAGACGGAGGCATCAAAGGCATCCGTGGCTGCCGTGGAACAAATGCTCACAAGGATAAATGAACGCTCCGAGCTGAACGTTCCAGCTGCCTAAAGTCCCCATTAAAATGACTGCAAATGTGGGGAGGGGGGGGGAGATCGAGAGTGAGGGGTGGGGGTGGGAAATGGAGAGAGAGAGGTTGAGGCGTTCGGGAGCTGGTTGAACAGGCAGACAGACAGACAGACAGACAGACAGACAGACAGACAGACGGCTGTCACTCGTGTGAAGCCCGGAGACCGCTTTGCAAGGGTTTCGCTCTGAATCAAACTCAAAGGCAGCGTCGCACACCGCTTGCCTCTCACCAAACAACAACAACAACAACAAAGCAAGATTCCATTTATTGAGCGCCTTTCATGTCAGGAGGATGTCCCAAGGCGCTGTACAGTTGGGTCGGGACCCGAGCATTGGGGGGAAATGGTCAGGGTGAGGGGAGGGAGGGAGGGAGCGAGGAGGAAATGGTCAGGGTGAGGGGAGGAAGGAGGGGGCGAGGAGGGGGAGATGGTCAGGGTGAGGGGAGGGAAGGGAGGGAGCGAGAGAGGGGGAAATGGTCAGGGTGAGGGGAGGGAAGGGAGGGAGCGAGGAGGGGGGAAATGGTCAGGGTGAGGGAGGGAAGGAGAGGAGCGAGGAGGGGGTAGAGAGTCGAGAGCGGAGCTGAAGGCTGAAGGTCAAGAGAAAGGTCTTGAGACGGCCTTGAAGGAGGAAAGGGAGGAAGCGGCGATGGCACTGGGGATGGAGTTCCAGAGCCTCGGGGCTGAGAGGCTGAAGGCCACCCATGGTAGGGCGGTTGGGGCGGGGTATGTGGAGCAGACCGGAGCCAGAGGAACGGAGGGTATGGGCGGGTAGGTAGGGGGATAGTAGGTCGGAGAGGTAGGGACCGCTCTATTCTCAGTCTGTCGTTAACGCAAATAACACCGAGCCAAACATCTCCACGCCTCTACTGTAGTCACT